TGTATCTGTGCAAACTAAAACGTGGACGTCCCTTCGCTGTGATAAATTGATATGTTTGTATAATAATACGGAAATAATTTTTTTTACATGTATGATATAATTCTGATTGTGATACAAGTTGACAACATACATCTAGATTTGACACTGTCACGATAATAATGATAATAATAATCAAAATGATAAAAGTAATAATAGCTTTTAAGAATGTAACACATGAACATATAGTAACGCAAAAACAAGTGCATCACTTAGGTAATAAAACAAAATAACTAATGGTTTTGCTTGTGACACGGGTGTTGCACTTTTTCTTTATCCCTTACGTGCAAACTCAACAAAATCGAGTCTGCAATTTTAGTCATTTCAGAAACAAAATTTCAGGGCAATTGTATAATACACGTGTAATTAATTCCAGTCATGGATGACTGAATATCAACACCTATTCCATTAAAATGTCAACAGGCTGAAATAATATTGAGGCAATTATAAGTGTCTTCATCAGTAAACATGTCTTATTTAGAAATACTTTATATTGCATGTACTTAATTTGGGGAAAATTTGCATCTTTTTGAGAAATTCTATAGCTTAAAGACTACTTTGAAATGAATTTTATTTCTTCTCATTTCATGTTTATGATTATTTAATGCGTACTTTTCTAAGGAATATGTCTATAAAAATAGAATAGAGTAGAAAAAATAGAGAAAAACAGAATCCCTAAAGAAAGTCGACACAACAAAATTGAAAATGTTGCAGGCTAGGTTTGATTGAGCCTGTTCATGAACCCTTCCACTTTTATCATACAATGTTGCAGTTTAAGTTTTCTATTTTTCATATTATTTATTTCTCTTGATGTGTTGGCTAATATTTTTTATGTAAATGGATAGTGTTTAAGACATTACTTAATGAAGAACAAAATCTGACAAAATTTACATAAAACAATTATAAAGAACCTTTTTTACTGACAAACAAACCGGAAAAGTGTATAAAATACCACCTGGCCACAGCTATTTACATAAATGAAAACATTAAGATTTTACAAATCAATGAATTGAGCCCTAAAACTATGTTGAAAAATGTATATGTCAGTAACATATAAACAGTTCTATATATTCAACATTCCAATTTTGTCAAAACATTTAGACATGATATGTGCAGCTGTTAAAATATTAAAATTGTGTTCAGGTGACAAATGTGCTTGCAATTGAGCAGTATGAAGACACTAATAATTACAGTAAAAGTTTGATTCCATAAACATGATTGTAAAACATACAGAAGATGCGAGAGCATGTCAATATCAGCAAAACAAAAGTAAAACATTTTGTCATCATCCGATAAATGCATATCATGCGGAATAAACTGGTAAACATTAAAAAAGAATCCATTCTTGATCCATATACCATGTCCATGATTGCTTTAAATCCAAACCAAATTTTTTTGTAGCAATCCCAAACGGACGCTGATTGAGCCAACCAACGTATGCTTGAAGGGTGTGGTAGAAGCACACATTCTAACCAAGCTTTTAGAAAGAAGTAATGTTGTAATGTTGCGTGTACCGTTACCATCTACGTTATTATTCAAGAATAAAGTAAAACAAAAAACCTGGTTTTGATATGGAGGTTTTTCTATTGATTTATGAAGGAGTTTTATGAAGAAATTTACCAACTGATTGTTTGACTGGTTGAACAATACTCGAAAAAATGGGTATACGGACTGATATTCATATAAGTAAAAGTGGTGACTTTGTTTAAATGTCTTGATAAGTAGTAATAGGGGAAGAAGAAAATGTATAACATGTAACAAAGACTTATAAGAACAATAAGGTCATTGGAACACATATTTTGCAAAGAGTTTTTTTAAAGAATAAGTGAACAAAGGACATACCGACCAATTTAATTCCAAAATATTTTTTTGTACGAAATTGCATAAATTGACAATGGCGGAGCGTGCGTTTCAGTATTCGTGGAGGGATTTTATTCCAGTCTTTGATTACTATAGCCTAAATAATTAACAAACAAAACAGTGATGAAATGAATTACGTTCTATCATCAAAGGTTTACATCACATTTGTCAACCATTATTCTGCATAGATAACCCAGTTTTCGACCTCAAGTGACCCATATTTGCATTGACTTAGACATCAACAAAACAATCTTTCTTATCAATTTTAAGGCTACTAGGACAGAAACAAAATCCCCTAGAGAGTTTACAAGTTTTTTTACACATTTAGGCAATGTGATCTAGTTTTTTATTACCAAAGGCGACCCATATTCAAACTTGATCTTCAAATTATCAAAACAATCTTCCTGGCCAATTTGCAGGAAGTTTGGACTGAAGCAATAGTCACAAGTACATGAATAAGGTTTCACCGTATTCGTGCTGTATGACACCGATGATCGATATTCTAACCTGACCAAAAATCACTAAACTAACAAACCTTTCTGACCAATTTCCAAAATATTTGGTTTAAAAACAGTAGTCCCAAGGTTTTTCCAGAATTGGGTTACTGACTTATTTCAAGGATATTTTAATCAAATCAGTAGCCAGTTACAATGTGTAACTCTAGTATGGCTAATTCTACATCTATGAAGAACAACTTTATCATGACGGTTAGGGAGAGATAGAGATGATGATTTATCAATACAAGGATTAATATCATGAAGTTACGTACAGCTTTGCCCAAATTTAATTTTGATTCAGAACAAATAAGATTTTACAAAGGTTCAAAATAGCTTTTAGGTAAGAGTAAATCAGCTGGTTGAGAATTAAAGGAATCTTTAACGAAAACACCTAGTTTTTCATTTTCTCCTATTTCAACGTGTCTTGGGATCTTACATAATTTGACTTTGTCTCTACAATATTAAGAAATCGCAAAAGGTGTTATCTTATCTTAATTGTATTGGACTTTCGATAATTAATTCGATGAAATCGATGAAATACACGCACAGAGTCTGAAAGAACTACAAATGAATGACAATAATCAGTGACTTTTGCTACTGCAGTAAGTATAAATGTATTAACAAGTAGTCTTAGACTTGACAAAAAATGAATTGCAAAAAGAACGGCTACACCTACTTTACGCCGTTCGTGTAAATTTGGATAACACTTCATGTTCCTTGAAATTTTCTGAAGATTGGAAGACTTCTTTTAAATATTGAATAACTGTTAACTTCTGGTTAATAATGTGAATTTGTGTAAATTTATCATGCACAAATATGCAATAGAATATAATTCAACCTTAAATTTTTCGTTGTTAATTGTTTTGAAAGCATAAAATGTCAAAAAAGTGAATGATTTATGGGGTACTGATATAAGCTTAGTCTCTTTGATATGTGCTTAGTTATCCGGGTATTTAATTTTGTTTAAACAAAAATACCGCTTGATAACAGCAAAGATTTCTTAGCACATCGTAGTCTTTTCTATTCATTTTTCGTAATAATTTTTGAGTTTAAATACCCCCTTGAATTATAATGTCCAATTTATTGCCGCACTAAGCGTGTGTGAAGCAACTATGGATGATCTTAGAAAAAAAGAACTGTTTTTAATATCTGAATGCCGACAACTAGTGATGAAACTTTTTTTATCCCCCCCCCCCCGAAAGGCGGCGGGGGATATAGAAATAGTCTCCGTCCCTCCTTCCGTCCGTCCATCCGTCCGTCCGTCCGTCCTTCCGTCAAAAGTATTTGAGGTATCAACTTGAAACCTCATAGGTGGATAGACCTCATTGAGGAGGAGTGCAGTGCACAAGAATGATAACTCTACACTGCATAATTTTTGAGTTATTGCCCTTTGTTATTTTTCAAAATTATTTTTGTCCAGAGCGTAACTCAAAAAGCCTTTGAGATATCAACATGAAACTTCATACGTGCATAGATCTCACTCAGGAGGTGTGCAGTGCACAAGAATGATAACTCTACCTTTCATAATTTTTGAGTTATTGCCCTTTGTTATTTTTCATACTTAATTTTTCACCTGAGTGGAGCATAACTCAAAAGTGTGAGATGTCAACATGAAATGTCATAGGTGGATAGATCTTATTGAGAAGGAATGCTGTGCGCAAGAATGATAACTCTTCCTTATATAATTTTTGAGTTATTGCCCTTTGTTCTTTTTCATACTATTTTGTTGGGAGCTTATTGAGGTATCAACTTGAAACCTCATAGGTGGATAGATCTTACTGAGGAGGGTGCAGCACACAAGAATGATAACCTACCCTGCATTATTTTTCAGTTATTGCCTTTTGTTATTTTCAGCCATCAGTATTCACATAGGTTTCAAATCTGTTATCACTTCAGCCATCAGTTTTCATTACCAAAGGACCTCTTAAAATTGAATTATTCTGCTCTACTACATATACATTCTTCCAATGAGCAAACACATTCGGCGGGGGATGGCCATGTTGACATGGCTCTTGTTATAAATAACAGTACTACTTTTCTCTAAAAACTCCTGCAGTTATTGTTAAATGCCGTTTACCATAAGGTGGGACCAAAGCCTATCCAAAAGAAACTAGTGATTTACATAAGGCGAACGTTATCTTCACGCAAGGGAAGCCTCAAATTCTATATGGCTTCATGGAGATATCTAAAGTGTCCAAAAAGAAATAAGAAGACGCAATTTAATGTTTCCTGATACACACTACCAAGTCAATGCCTTCTTTCTTTCAATAATGTTATTTATTGGAATCAAATTTCGTCATTTGGTTTGTCCAGATTAAAACCACTCAAATTATTATTGTAAATGTCACACTGGAGTAAGATCTCATTAATCCTTTCATGCATTATTTTAGGAATAAAGTTGTCTCATGTAGAAAATAAAATTGCAATGAGCTAGCTAGTGCTTCCTTACATTTTTGTCATTATCATGACAAACAACATTTTTTAAATCTTAAAATCAATACGCAATTAAGATTTATATCATCTGTTGGTACACAAAAATCATGGTAATTTGATGTAGCCCTGTTTAATAATCTTTGAAGATATATAAGACATTTTGCCTTTTTAAAGAAAAAATGGTAAAGTTAACATTGACAGCGCTACAAAACAATCAAACTCTAGACATTTATGTATGACAGCTGATCTTTAATATTGTAGTTTATTGTAGTTTATTGTTTGAATTGTACTCATTCAATTACGAAACATACCTACATATAAAATTTTTAATTCAAGGTGATGGACTCATATGAAATCCACAAAATGTCCTCTTCTGTGACAACACTCCAATGTACTTATTTACGATCAATGTTAACGAATTATCTACTTTTAAACAGCAATTGCGATTCGGCATTGATTTTAGCCTTTTATAAGGAGATTACACTCTTGACAAAATCGCATAAATCTGACATAGCATCGTTTTTAGTCACTTTTCCGTTTAGGCACATAAATGAATATGCAATTAGTAAAAAGAATGTTCATTTATACACGTTTGATATGACGAAATATAACATTACCATTCTATGTTGAAAGTAATAAGATCATGCAAAAAGGTCTAACAATATTTCATAATTCATTGCAAGAGCTATACTCTGTGAATACTTATGTGATTGCTTTGTCGGCCAACAACAATATTGTACGGGTCTGACGTGGCGGCAAAGATTCTATCATGCTCTTCCAGATGGAACACTGCTCCTATATTACTTGTTCTATCAGCATGTTCAACTGACATTTCACACACAGACTCCACATGCTCAAGTAAAGTTATCAATGATCCGTTTTTATTAGACACACAGTTGACAACATGACTTACTGTTTGATCAATGTTTTCATTTAGTTCCGTACTGTTTTCAAACCTTGTTGTCATCATCAATGAAATAAAATATTTTCCGGTCCTCTTGATGTGAATTTCGCCATCGTTTGCTGCATGTGAAACTTTATTTCCTGAGTATACTTCAGATCCCCAATACACCTTTGTTTTCCTTCCAGGAACTGATCAGAAAAATATTTTTGCAATAGCATTATCTAATTGAACACTGTCGTGAGCTCAAATAATAAATTTATTCCAATTTAAAGACAAATATTGAACACCTAGTTTCAACACTAATAAAGACAGATAAAATGAATATTTACTTAATTAACATGAAAGCTTAAATTAAACTCAATGTTTCATGTATAATAACAAGAAATTTTAAATTGATGATTTAAAATAAAGAGATTAAAACAAAATACCAGGCTTTGAATGTGATGAAATCTGTCTGAGGTGTAACTGATCAGCTTCTTCATTGTTTACAAAACAGTTAACCACTCCAAGATCAAGAGCACTATATTCTGTAAGAAAGATCAAGAGCACTATATTCTGTAAGAAGAATACACCACACTTATAACGTGTATTTAAAATCAGATATTACTTGCAGAAAAAAAAACACAAAAAAAAACCACAAATAACATTAAGATTTTAAAGTAATAATTGTATTATAATATTTCAATATTGATACCACAATATTAGCATTACAAAACATTCATGTACAGATAGTCATTTGGTAAATGTTATGCCTAGATATTTATTTTTTTATAAAAAAATAGTTTAATACTTATATAATTACTTCAAACAATTACCTTCGACGACATTTATTTGAGAGAAAAGTATATTAATTGTTATATAAGCATCTACGTTTAAATCAGTAGTTTTAATCATACAATGTTCTCTCTTGCAAATATATTATTTAACTGATTGAAATCCTGTATGTACGATAAAAACGTTAAGAATTAATAAATTAAATACAAATGCTTAATGTTATGGACCTGTAAGCAATTACAAAAGCGTTAATAATTTACCTTAAACTGTAAAGGTAAATTGGGTCACATTTAAACTGTAAACTTCTTTTATCAGCTTAGATGATTAAACATTGAAACAAAGAACAAATTTAGTTTAAGTCACAAGAAACTCAATACAATTGACATATATATTTAAAGCGATTTTATACCTGGATTTATATTGCTGTCATATCTGTCTGTAATTGTCTGAAAGGAAACAAACAATGAACATAAAAGAACGATTGAATACATACAAATAGCATTCAATTAATTATACTTATATTGACTTCTCATTAAATAGAATATAGGATATTGAATGAGTGTAGGTTTTATACTATTTATTGAATGAGTTGAATAAAATCATATGCGAACCTCGGCAAGCATAATTCTGTTTTATTCAACAAGATCAATATCTACAAGAATATAATATTCTTATATCACATATTCAAAATAAGAACGGTGTACAGTTAAAAAGAGTCATTTTTCATTGACGTGGTTATAGTGTTAAGCGCTTTTACCTTATGTTTATATATAACGCAAATGACGACACGTTAAAATGTTATTACAATAGTGTAATATCAGTTTTATTATATGACTCTATTACCGTAGTTCATAAGATATGAAGATTTATTGATTGATCATTATAAAACTATTTAAACCTTAATATTTTATAGAGTTTGATGTATATATTTAAGGATATAGGTAAAGAAATCTGGAAACAAAGTGATCCTTTATAAAACCTTTATAAATCATGAAATTGTACCTTGTTTATATAGTTTGAAAGTATATCGGAAATCTTCACACAATATTGATCAGTGTCTTTACTCTTAACTTCCTCGTCAAACAGGCGTTTAAGCGAATCGTAGTTTTTATGTATCGAGTTCAGATCCTTTTCCGAGAAGCAAATCCTCGGTTCAATTAATTTTCCTCTTAACAGGCGCCAGTACACCACAAGTGATATGAGAGCTAGTAAATCTAATACAACTAGATTAATCAAAACTTGGAGAATTCTGGGTTTTGTCATCTGTTGAAATATAAATGAAACTATTAGACTAGAAAGATAATACATGTACATTTGTATATAGAATAGGTTATAATAGACATGGAAGACTTTTAGAAAATGAAATAAATACCTGATTTGTTGTGTTACCAAAATTAAACATGAATATACTTCTAAATTAGAGACATGTCATTTTTCATAATATTACGTACTAAATGTAGAGTATTCTTTTTGCTATAATTGTCTAATCTATTCAAATTTGTTTTTAATTGTTTTACACGTAATGTGAAACTAATGGACAAGGAAAGAAAGTATCTAAAGTATTAGCATTTATTTCGAATTTATAGTTAACTTACCTTGTAAGACATTTTGTAAAAACAATACATGTAGTTAAAAATTCAAATATTTCTATAATTTTTGTCATCTTGATTTAAGATAAAAAACACTTACCTTTGGTCTGCATAAATGTTAGCCAGATTAGCCAGATAATTTAGATTGGTTCTCTAACCCTTTTCAATTTAACCGTCAAGGAAGAATAATTTAAAGTCATTGTAGTATTTTGGGAATTTTAAAATAATTATATTGAAGTTTCAAATTTCTGTTTCGCTTTAATAATGGATACCTACGCATACGTATTTCCGTACACGCAAAAAATACCAGCATTTTAAACTGTTTACAATTTGAATATCGCTGGTTTGGGTATCTTTGTCTTCAAAGCAAAGTTTTTGTTGCATATAAAACCCATCATATAAAACCCATCTTGCATTAAACCATAAACTGAAATCCTGCACTAAATACATTAATTTTATATATTTTAAAGATGATGTAAACTTACAAATAAAAAGACACTTATAATTTTGCTATCTTTAATGATACAAAAAGTGCATTTAAATTATATTCAATGTCGATTTGACAAAAAAGACAAGTTGCTTATTTCGCTTCCTATTCAATTTAATTAACTCTATAATAATCTTTCATTTGAATTTTCAAATATTGAACTTTAAATCTTTGTAAGTATTTTTCTAAAAAGATAATGATCAACAAGTGCGTATAAAGTAATGATTGATACAACATGTTTGTTGTAACTTTAACTTTTTATAAGCCACTGAATGTTAAATAACAACTACACTTATATGGTAGACAACTCAAATAATTATACAATTGAACGATGTGAAGAGTTGTCTTCGCCCTTAAAATTTTATTTGTATACGATTATTCGACTTTGTTTTTTATATTATCATTTCATTAGTGTTTTATATTATACGTACCTACAAATTCATTGAGAAAAAACAATCTTGTTATTTTTCCCAGTCTGTGAAGACATTTATATCTAGCGTATTCGGTTTGAGAAAACGGTAAAGATATATACAAGAAAAACAGTATCAAATAGAAAAGAAAAGCTATCTAAAGAGTTGGCAATTCAGTGCCAGAAGGATATTACAGATTATTCTATAAAATAACGTATATGTATAGCAAAAGTAAGCATCTCATATATAGTCAACAAACGAGTAATTTACTTTATTTTGTGATCAATTTAATTGAAATCATGGTATAAATTATACGAAAGATATCGTCTGTTGAATCATAGTCACCTTTTATATCACGTAGATATATGAACTGAAAGAGTACATCGATGAGTAAATGAACCAACATGTGTTGAAAAACAAATTGAGTGATGAAATATAATATTTTAAACGCATTAAAATATCTCTATGAAATTGTTTATTTTAAAAGATCATTCGTCAGAATGACGACCTGGCTAGCGTATTTAATGCGACTTTTGTGTTTTGTCGATATTTTTTGTTTCAGTAACGTATTGCATAACATCTGTATTTTTTTATTCGGTACACTGTTGCATTTGACAAACAATTCGTGTCTTATTTCACTGAAATGGGCAGATAAAATGTGACTGAGACAATGTTACGCCAATATTGGGAATGAAGTACCTAAGCAACGATCGATTCAATGTAAAAAGTACCTGTGTGTCACATATTTTATCTGCGTCTTTTTCCTTTTAGTATCATATGACACTAGTAGACCGGGGAATGACTCCGGCATAACAAATGTCAAGACAGTTGAATTTTAAATGAGTTATTGTACTTCTAAATATTGACGAAACACAACGGTCGCTCTATCGAAATGTAGCCATGTAGGCATTCACACGAATAATCTTAAAGTTAAAAATAGTTATCATATTGTAACGCTAGTTAAAGTATGTTGTCATTGCAGCTGTATGCATTTATTTTTTTCCATTTGATTCACTTATAAATACATAGTCCGTTTACTTATCATGTAACTCGTTTTGGACAAACATTTGCACAGATTTGGCGTAACCTTTGCACAATTATTGGTTATTTTCAAATATCTGCGTAAATGGACAAACACTGTGATATTTTGTGCATTAAATATGTACAAAGAGGAAAAGTAAACATACATTCCAGAATTCACACTTAACATTGGATAGATCATTGATATTTTATATGGCTAATTCAGTTGAATGTTTGGAATTATCTAATCTAATGCTCTGAAATTACCTTATCGGAAACACTTGGTTGGTGCGAAAAAGATAAAACATTCTTTGTAAAATTATGTAACAAGAAGATTATTGAACTCTCTGTAAAAGAAGAATTCTGAGTCAGGTCTTATATTTTATACAAGCTGAAAGCTTCAATTGCCTCATTATTGAACTCAAAAGGTTTAACTAGGAACATACATGCATATGTATGTATTAAAACGTATATTTGTCAGTGAATGTGTGTTTCTTTCCTTTGATGACTGTAAAAACGTTTTTATTAAAACATTATGATATCTATACAAGGAACGCAATCGAGTAGTAAATTAGGCAAATATAAACAAGATATAAGGATGTTAGAGATTATTTAGCAAATGAGTACTAGGTTCAATAAATATTGGTAGAGGTTAGCTACTCAATAATGTTCTGAACAGAAACAAATGAATTCATTGAATGTAGTATTTCACATTATAGTATGAATGCTAAGATGATTATTGCTGTGAGCAGAAACGATATTGTACGGGTGTGACGTTGCAACATATAGTATATCATGCTCCTTCAAATAAAAAGCTGCTTCTATGTTACTAGACCATTCATCTGCATGGCGGTATGCCAATTCACAGGTTGATCTAATATTGTCTAGAGGAACTCGTTCGGCCCAGTCTTTCAGATGAATTACATAAACAAAGTGTTTAACATTGCAGGTCGATTTATGTATTGAACTCTAAAGGTAAGCAAAGACGACACATAGTAAAAGCCAGATTGATTGATGTAGATGTCTCTCCCATCGTCCACAGATAAAACCTCGTTTTCTTTTCCTTATATTGATTTTGTTCTGTTTTCCAGGAACTTAATTAAGTAAATGAATAAAATATAAAAATAAAAATAAAATATCTAATGTCAACATTCAAAATTACATGTATGCTCATTATCTTTATGTTAAAATGTAAAAAGAAATCATACATTTTTCATTCATATAACCTGTTTAAATCTTTTATAGTATTTTTAACACAAAAAGATTATGAACATACCTTTTCACACCTCTGAGCTAATATTATAAAAATGTAATAAAGATGCTTTACTTTGTGTAATGTTGCAACCAAATTGCATCATATCTAATGATAGATGCTCTGGAGAGAGAGAAAAAAACAAACAACCAAATTACAAAGCGAACGGCGTTAAGTGTATCTTCTCAATGAAAATCTATACAAATAAAGACCTTTATCACATTAACCGCGGCGCAGGAAAGAGTGTAATCAGACATGACGTGGCGTCATGTGCGATGTATATAAACATAGCGTTAAAGCGCGCTAATGGTAGCGCGTCGGTTTAACTATAAATCGTTCTCTTTTTCAATATGTGATAAATAGAATTTTATATTCTTGTAGATTCTACAATAAATTATTGAACTTGTTGAACGACTTTATTCAACTCCTTCAATCCATATTGAAAAGTAACTCCATAGTTTATATTGATTTACTAAATTTTATTAAAACTCTTGTGATTGCTTGAAGTAACTGATAAACAATCATTATTTATCTCAATTTTTTCACCCTGCGTTGGCAAACAAATATACCTACATGACATAATAGATTACACTCTCGTGTCTGTTTTTGATCTGGGGGACTGTGGATGCAGGGGGGGGGGGGGGGGGGGAGGTGATGAAATTTACATCAGAACGCTTTCAAGTGATGTATTATAATGTACGTACGAACTAACAGTATAATTCACTTCAATATTTAAAACAATTTACGGTTAACGTTCAAAACCAACATCATTGTATTGTAACAAGTTATACCTGGATTCATATCACTGTCGTAACTTTCATGCGTTTTCTGAAAAAGAATTTAAAGAACAATTTAAAGGACAGACAAAAAAAATCGAAAAAAATATATTCCACTTCTATCAGCCTTTGTGTATATTTATATTGCCAATGTATGCCATTACTATAATTCTTTTCCGTGTTTAACTGCAAAAGTCAAAGAGATGAAACAACAAAACCAAAATGTATTACACATACATATCAGTTAGTGTACTATACTACAATCAAAGTGCTGAAAGCACTGATGGGGGCGCAATATGTTGCATACAAAAATTCGAGATTTGTATAGCAATCTACTTTCCAGGTATTCCAATCTGATATCATTCTTCTTTCAAAGTTGAATAAGTGCCCATTTTGTACACAATATAATAGTATCGCCTCCAAACTCTTGTCAAAATTGAAAATCATGTACCAAGAACATACTAACAAACCGAGGCAAAATGCATAATTGATATCATATATATATCATGAATAAACATTTTAAAATATGACATTGGATTTTGTTGGGAAACTATAGTAGTTTAACCAATTTTCATGTAAAGTACTTCCTTATGTGAGTGTATAATACATAAATCAGTGTACATACTATATTTATTCCAAGAAATGATTATGCAGACAGAAAATAAACAGAAAATTTAACTGTCTATAAAATATTTCTAAAATAAAACCAGGACTGAACTTATTTTTTGTAGAAACCTTTCAAGCACAATAGATAATACATGTGAGAATGTAAATTGGAATGGATACATATAATCAAGTTGGCATTGAAAACAAGAGCCACTATCTAGCTTGGGCCATGCTCAGCCTTTTCTTATATTGGAAGTCAAACACATCAGTAGGAGAATATTGTAATATCTATTAGAGTACTCCTAGAAAACATAATATAAATGTATAAAGTAAATTTCAAATTTGAATAGTAAAGGTCATAGTTGAATGATAATTGTTCTTTTGTCCAAGAATGAATCAAATCATAGACAAAAACAAAGTTATGACAATGTGATCGAATTTCAATTGTTTAACCTTGGAAGTAATGGTCATTTTAATGTCAAAGTTATATCAGAAAAATTCAACATGTTGGTTTTGTGTTTGTATGTTCAAGCATGATTCAAATCTGTAAATAATAACAAAGTAATAACAATTCCAGCTAACTCCAAAGATATTTTATATCAAATAAAGGTCAAGGTCATATATGAACTTGAAGGGCTTTTGTCACAAAAACATGTCTCC